TAAAAGTTCATGTTTGGTAAAAAAAATATCGAAATTAATTTATATCTGCTAAACGGTAATAGATAGGTATAGGGAAATATATATGACTTTGTTGAGAAAGTGATAATAAATCATAATATGATATTATATACAGGGTGTTCCAATTGAAAAATCAAAGAAGCCGCTACTTTATAGTAAAAGGAACAACGCCGCTTCGTCTAAAATATTTTAGGCGTGTAGGTCATATTGATTTATGCATACTGTGAAATTTTCAGGTTGATCCGTTAAATAGTTTGTCAGAAACGGTTGATTAACGCTCATAATGAAAAGCCCTGTATAGCCTTTTGAAATAATATTTTAGTTATTAGATTTACCTGACTATTACATAAGGACAGATTGTAAAATTAATTCAAAACTAGTAGATAAGGCAATATTTTGAAATTAATTTAAGACACTAAAGAAGGCACCTAGAAGAGGTATCTATGGTATAAATAAGGATAACATTGTAAGTATATTTAGTTTGATCTTCCTCTTGAAGATGATCACTTGGTGATCAAAACACGTGTCAAAGTGTTAAAATAACGGTTTGGTGTTGGGAAAAAACTCCAGTAATGTTCATTACTACACCAAAGGTTCCAAACAGTCCATCACAAGTATCTTAATCATTTGTTATTCGTAAATTATATTCAGTGTGTGAATTAAAATGGCTAATACTTCAGTTTTCTCTCCAATTCCGCTTTCTGCTTCGATAAGTTTGTTGGGGGTTAAAATGGACACCAATACGTCTTGGCACAATCATGTCGCTGGGATTGTAAAGGCTGCTTCTCGAAAGCTTTGAACACTGTTTCGAACCAGAAAACTATACACACCTCAGCAACTGTTGATGTTTTATAAAGCTCAGATCAGATCTTATTTGGAATATTGTTCTCTTGTTTGGAGCTCCGTCCCTGAGCATATCCTGAAGCTGCCGGATTCCATCCAGAAAATAACCATCCGCCTGATTGGAGACACGAACATCACTAATAACCTTGGTAGTCTAGAATTCTAGAACATCAAATAAAGATTGGAAATGTGTCTCTCTTTTATAAATACTTTCACGGGAGGTGTTCAAGTGACTTGATACATTTGATTCCACCAAGAGCGGTACATATCAGGAATACAAGACGGACTGTTTCGAGGTTAAGCTGGGCGTACCTCGAACTTCGCTTTTTGAGAACTCGTCCATTTGGAGAACTGCGTTTATGCGGAATAAACTTCCTCAGAATGTTTTTCCAAATGAATTTTATCTCAAGCGATCCAAATCCAACGTGAATCGCTGTTTAACACAGGCACCGCTCTTAGATCGCCTTAAGGATTTTCCTGTAGTGCTTATGTTTTTTTTAACGATAAGACTCATTTAGTTTTCAAAACATTTTAAATTCCGACCAACTAATGTAAGTCGGTGAGAGGAGAAAAATAAACCATTCAGAGTGTCCTATACATCCACCTCTGTAATTAACTCACCGTTGCAGATCATTTTGGATATCACCAGATAATTTTTTCGATCAACGATAAGACTCATTTTGTTTTCAAAACATTTTAAATTCCAACCAATGCTTGGGGTTTGGAAAACTAATGTAAGTAGATGCGTGTTAGAAATCCCACGTTAAAAAGTACGACCTCGTTAGTCCTTAGCTCGCACAAGTTTCGACTCCTGAGGATTGTCTTTCGTAGGAGTGCGATCGCTGGTTAACGGAAAAAAACATATTATGAACATATTAAACATATTATATTATAAATGTAGAGAAATAATCCCTCAAGGGCGTCTTAAAGATCGACATTTATAACTTAACCTCACTTGCAGATCATATTTTAGACATCGTATGTAAAGTTTTATTCAAAAATCTAATTTTTAGAGAGTATCTTCCCGTTTAGGAATTTTGACAGAATATATGAGAGGTATATCATCATCCTATTAGGGCATTATTGCAATCAAACGGATTGTTCGAGTCTGTAATAACATTGTAAAATCGTCCGGTAAGTGGTTTCCTAATTACAAGTTCATGTCCATTTCGGAATTTGGAGACAATAAAACATTTCATTTTGACTGGTTACATCACCGTCATCTCGTATTTCGCAAAATACTCACATATAGTTATAAAGATGGACATTTATTATCTCGACAAGTCATGTGGAGAATTTAAAAATTTTTCGTCAAGGTTGTGTGAAAAAATATTGTTATAGTGGTTTGCTTTTTGTCCGAAAATAGAAGCGTATACAGGGTATTAGCCAGAATGTTGATTGAGAGTAGGTATACGGGTATAAAATATAAAAATATCTTCAGTAATTTTTGCTGCAGTGTTGCCCTTTTGTTTGAATTGATTGAATTTATGAAAATATCGTTACGCTTAACTAGCAAGCGAATATAAAATGGATATTTTTCAAGTCTTCATAATTATATATGTTGAATATTCATCTATTTGAATATTTTGATTTCGAATTAAAACGAAAATATTTTTAGTAGAGAATAATATTATGAGAATCAGACAGACGGAAAATTCATTTAGAAACAACTTCTTCGATATGCACATGAAGATGATCACTTGATGGTGATCGAAACACGTGTCGAGGTGTTAAAATAACGGTTTGGTTTTGGGAAAAACTCTAATAGTATTCAAAGGTATTGATATTGAATATCACTTACATGGAAGACTATTATCATTAATGGCGTACTTCGAAGTTTCGGGATGAGAGACCTGTCACGTACTGTCATCGCGACAAGAGCGCAATGTGATATAAAATAAAGGTATTGATATTGAATGTCACTTACATGGAAGACAATCATGCAAAACCTTAATGCAAAACATAGACGTGACAGAATGAAGAAATTTGGCATATATAGAATAGAATGTATAGTGAATGCTCTGCAATATATACAGGCCAGACTGGCAGAAACTTCGAAGTAAGACTCCGTGAACACGTCGGTTTAGACAAAAAATCTTCTACGTACGAACATCTACAAGAAACAAACCACAAAATAAGTAAGGAAAACCTCAAAATCTTACATACATGCAGTAAAGGAAGGAAAATGAATTTGTTGGAAGCCATGGAAATTAATAAATCAATTAAAAACTCAAACAGATTTGTGTAGGACTCCACTTTTGAATTTATAAAGATGACAACGCAATTAATCACAGTTTGAAGTTTATGTAGTTGGTATTAATGAATGTAGGTATATATCTTATTACCTACTCTCGGCTATATATACTCCGATATTTCTCTAAGGTCAGTAGTGTTAGAATACTTGAGAATGGTGTAAAAACCGAAACCTTGGTCGTATTAATATCAATACATTAAGTAAGTGGAAATTAGACAAAGTATTTTATTTCTATATCATTTAATCGAAGATGAATTTCCACAAAATAAATTAGTCATCAATATCACAAAGAAGACAATCATCATTAATGGCGTACTTCGAAGTTTCGGGATGAGAGACCAGTCATGTACTGTCGTGACAAGAGCAGATTTGTCACCTGGTGTGATATAACGTCCCAATGTTCTGGAAGAAATGAGTGCTTCATCTTGTAAATGTTATCCAATGTTGTCCCGAAGCTTTGAAGTACAACATTGGGGATGATAGTGTTTGTTCCATGTGACATTTTATATCAATACTCTTTCTGATATCACATTGTGTACTGTTCCTGCTGATATTTATTTCAATTCAATTACGAATGTTTGTAGTACAAAATAAATGGAAAAAAAGTTATTTTCGTGTAATTCAATGTTCATATGAAAATAGTTGTTTCGGTAGAGTTTTTTCATTTAGTCTGTGTGAAAAAAATTCCTCTACACGCTCTACAATATTTATTAAAAGTTTTTATTGTAGGTTTCTTCCTTTCTTTGAAATATCCCAAGCTGAAACAACTGTCTACTGGTGTCTCTTAAATTGAAATCAAATTGGGAATGATCAGAATAGTACTCATCTTTATCTTTTGTATTTCATGGAATTATTTTCAAGTAGCTTAACTGCATTAAGTTTTCTTGATTCTATATTATTTCTAGAAACATGTTGATTCGTTTTCTAATGACATTCCAGGAGACATTTTCTGCTAATGCAGTTATCAGTTGATTGGTTAAACCACCGACGCTGACATGAAAACTTTGCAAGATAACTTGAGCTTCACACCAATAGATGGTTTCACTTATGTCTCGGTTGCTTTTAAGCAGTTATTTTTATCAAGTACTGTTCTAAGTTTTCCACATTTTGTCTTTTAGTTAGGGAAGCTATAGAGTATGCTGTAGACGACCCCTTCCGATATAGAAGGTCCCGACACTCTGTCGAATGAGGCCCTCATTTCCCACGTAAATAAATGAACAATTTTTCATCCATCTCACCCTAGTCAGGTAGGGGTACAACCACCATGAAAGGCGGTACTGATGTCTGAGGACTTTCATACCGCCACCACCTTATAGTCATAACACATTCGTCCCTATGACAAAAATCAGTCACAAGGGTAAGGGAGCTAGGCTCCAACCTGTCTGAAGTGAAGATGGCTGTCGACCACATTTTGTCTTCGATCGAGGACCGCCTGCCCGGTACTGACGATGCCCCACAAGCTGAAACAGCTGTCCACCAGTGGTTCTTAAATTGAAATCAAACTTTTTATTATAAAACGCTTGAAATGTTTTGTTAAGTCGTCTCCTGCTTGGGAGACTTTTTGATTTTCTACATATATCTTTCGTATGATTGATACAATCCAATTCCCACATGGACATCCGGTCCACATCGACCTCCAACCAGCGTGAATGGGGATAGGAGTTATATAAATCCACTTTAACACTCCCACGTGGACATACGGTCTACCCGGCCTCAAACGGCGTGAATTAAAGTGCTATTTCTCTTTAAACACAACCTTCTTTGTGAACAATCGTTGTCGGCACGTCCGTCCAACACCATATCAGAAACAAAACCTTGAATACATGACTTGTGAGAAAAGCCAGTAAATAATATTTAAGAAGAAGAATACTCTTCTAACCTCAAATCACTACTCACTACTTGACACCATTTACGTTGTTTTGGTTGTGAAGTTTGGTGTCTCTCGTTTGTAAATAACCACAAAATGGGTAAACTAAACGTAACTATGATGCGATACCTCACTCCTGAGGACTTTCGAGTGTTGACCGCCATTGAAATGGGCATGAAAAACCACGAGCTGGTGCCTGGGCCTTTGGTTGCCTCCATCGCAAATCTCCAACATGGGGGAGTCCACAAACTCCTTCGTGAGTTGTGCAAACACAGACTATTGACTTACGAAAGAGGCAAAAAATACGATGGTTACCGTCTAACTAACAGTGGATATGACTATCTTGCTCTACACTCCCTTTTGATGAGGAATGTAATTGCCTCATTCGGGAACCAAATAGGGGTTGGTAAGGAAAGTAATATCTTTATAGTGGCTGACTCTGAAGGAAAAGAATATTGTTTGAAGCTGCATAGGCTTGGCAGAGTGTGCTTTCGCAAGGTCGCGGAAAAACGAGACTACCACAAGCATAGAAAGTCTGCGTCTTGGCTGTACCTTTCAAGGATATCGGCAACTAAGGAATTCGCGTATATGACTGCTCTGTATGATAGGAAGTTTCCGGTGCCAAAGCCCATTGACTTCAATCGTCATTGCGTAGTGATGGAACTTATTCGGGGGCAGTTGCTCAACCATGTTATGGAGGTAAATTCATTCATTCAACAGGTTAACACAATTTACAGAATATAACAAATAGACAAATAATAATTTTTTATTGCAATATGATCAACAGTTTGTGCATGAATAACTGTTCTTTGGTCAATAAAGTTTTTCATTTTTCTGTATATCTATCTGAGCTTTGTCAACAAGTTTACTATACTATCAGTGTTATTACATTTTATTATTGTTCAAAAATATATACTTCCAATACTAACACAATTGTTCTAGGTGGATAATGTGGACTGTCTCTACGATGAACTAATGAACCTCATAGTTCGTTTCGCTGATTCTGGTGTAATCCATGGAGACAAAGGCATTTTCAATTTAAAATATTTCAAGTATAATATAAACATGGACTACTTATGACAAATACACAGAGTAACTGAGTGAAGAAAAACATATGCTCCAAAAAAATTCTTATGGATATGGATGATAAATTGACACAATGAAAACTGCATTCTAACTGCAAATAAAACTAAAAAATTGACAATGCGAACATCTACATATGCTAACTGTCATCTGATATGGTCCATTCAATCATGGTTGAGTGTGTTTGAGACTACTGCCAGTCTAGAGTAATTTTATTCTGAATGTCTATTGCATGGGTGTTTGTTTTTGTTCTTCTTGTAATTGTTGTTATTATTTTTTACAAATAGCATCACATCAAAATATTCGTGCTTGATAGAGGTAATATTTATTTATTTATTTTCAGTGGAATACAAAACGGGACAAACCCAAAAAGAGTATTCACAAATGATGAGGTAAAAATAACAATAAATAATTTGATTGTTATAAATAATATGCAATATCGTGGTATAAACAGTTATTAATCAAGTGCAGTGCAAATTACAATAGTTAGATATGAAAATGGTGATTGTATGAACATTTGAGAGACATTGTGACGGTTGCAAGGGAATTAGAAAAGATGTCAATTTCTATTGATTTGGATATAGAGTTGTAGGATTTTCCAACAGCTATTTAGGGGAGAATTCAAACAGTAATTAGTTTTACTTTGATTTGTTTGGAATGAATATAATCCTCTGGTATTATACAGAGGTACATTAATCAAAACTTGGGTCAATATAGAACTGCTGTCAAAACAATTATTTATTATTTTATATAGGAACTTAATATCAGCTATTTGGCGTCTATTCGCCAAAGATATCAGATGGAGTTGTATTTTAATTTGTAGTGTATCTTTGAGATTATGAAAGAATTTTCTAATGATAAAGGTGACGAATTTGCTTTGTATAGATTCAAGTCTTTCGATATATGATTGTGTTTTTTTTTATTAAACAAAACTTTTTTTGTGACATTCAAAAATGAAAAGAACTAAAGAAGGAACTGCAAGATTCAGAATTTTTTGAATTCCGAAGACTCAGGCTGACTTTAAACAAGTTACTGACAAACAAAACATTTACACAGTAACTATTGTGATCCAAAAATGTGGGGTAACCCTTTAGATAAGATTTTGTTAAGTGGAAAGTCTCAGGGAAATAAGCCGTGAGGAATGTGACAAAAAATATATTTTATGAAAAATGTTGATTTGTGCTCAAGTGCAATTTATCTTCAAGGGTAGTTATGCCAATTAGACAGTTTACAGAAATCAGTAACATTAGTTTTTACAGACATTAAACACAAGATTATATACATTGAGTGGAGTGTTACAATATGGTGTTCCTTAAAAGTTGTTCTACAGGATTATCTGTACTTCAAATCGTACATAAGTCTTCTTGTCTTTTTTGAAACGAAAATACTCTCTTGTGAACAGTTGCTATTCCCCATGGTGCAATTTCAAATGATACATGGTTGTTAGCAAAAACATAATATAAGTTCAAAAATCGATTTTATTCGGTAAATTGCATACTGTTTTGTGTTGTTGTTTACAAAGTCTATGTTGTATGAAAATCAGAATCTATCCAATTATCAAATAATTTGACGTTGTTAAAATTCATATTATAAAAAAACCAGGCTGCACTTATAGCACAGACGAACCCAAAAGTGATTTCCAGTCTGGGAATGCCGTTAAGAACTGAGGAAACTAACGGACAGGAATAGATTGACACCTTACTAGGTACCAGGACAATCAGGCATAGCAGGTAATGAAAGCACTGATGGGTATGTCAGTCAAGGATCATCAACTCAATATATAGGCCCTCCAATCAACTTTGGTCCGGAACCAGAATGGAAAGTGGGTATATGAGAAACATAGAGTACTGAAAAACCATACCTGGGGACAGACACGGGAAAAACTTTTATAAATGGACCGTCTGAGCTGAAAAACTGCTCCAACAAAAAAGGCTCAGAACGATTACAGAGCTTCTCACTGGACACTGTCAATTAGAGGATACCTGAACAAAATCTTAACTGCAGGGGATGCAAAGAAGGGACAGCTCGTCATATTTTACGCGAATATCCAGCAAGAGACATGTACAAACTAGTAAAGGGCACTAGATAATTGGAATGAGTGGCATAAATAAGATAGGTGGAAAACACAATATGGGTTATGCTGTTCTCTAAGAGAGTTTCAAGAGTTTTTCCACGTACTGTAACCGTTGTATCGTCTGCAAACATGATGACTTTTCCCAGTTGTCAAATGGTTTGAAAGATCATTTACTTAGAGTAGAAAAATCGAGGGTCCAGAACAGGTCTTTGAGTTGCTCTAACTTAACAAGTATACTCCTGTTTTCTAGGTACCTCTAATCTCTAAATAACTAATTTTTCCAGGATAAAATCAACATTAAGTCAGTCAAAAACTTTTGAGAAATTTAACAGCGAAACTATATGGAGTCCAATGTCAGATAATTTGATTAAACTTGTAAACGGATTCATAATGGAGTTGTGCATAATTTTCAAAAGCTCAAGAGAAATACAGAATAAAAAGAATACTTTTGTCTAATTTCTAGACAAAAGTATTATTTTTTTTCATATTCAAAATGAATGTCTACAAGATAAATACTTCAGTCAGATATGGAACAAAAATTATATTCACATGGTTTTTGGAAACAGTGTATTTGATAGCAGAGTTATCAATTTCATTTGAACCGTGTCCTGAAAAATACGCTGCAAAAACATCGGTTTCTTCCTTGTATCTATTGTTAAACAATCATCCTTATTGTTATTTGTTGTACTCAGTACTGGTTGTATAAATACAACATTATTTTAAAGAAAGTTATACAGGTTGTTCTAATTATTGGACCATCTCTTCAATTATATTTTACTGTATAGTAAACATAAAATATGCAAATTCTGGTCATTTTTGTTTCAGATGATTCAGATTGTTCCTCTGGATACACAATGGACAACTTTGATTCGAGGAGTGTCAGATCCAGTGTGACGACAATACATCCTGATGAAATAAAGAGGAGGGTACAAAAACAGATCTTTGCAAAAAATAAGAGAGCAACTGCAAAGAAATGTGTTGCTAAAGGAGAAGCTAGTGCTGTGACAAGGAGTAGGAGGGAAAATGCCAACACTATCAAGCACAGCGGCGTTTGGGGTTTTGATTGATGTTTTTTTATTTATAGTTTCTATTGTTTGGTTAAATATAACTTAAGTACACTTCGGTGATTTTTTTTCAATAATACATTGCTTACATTTAGGTCACCTTCTTCTACAAAAAGCTTGATCTAAGTCCAATTCTGCTATGAGCTTAGAAAAATTCAAAGAAAAAAGTTTTGATTTTCTACTTCTCCATCTCTATACAAAGATCTGTATAGACCATGCAAAGAAGTAACTTTCAGACACAAACTGGGAACAAAGCTCTCTTGAAACAGCCTCTTTCATATAAATATTGAATTACACGAAAGAGAAAATACTTTTCAAACAAATATTTTTAAATGAACACTGAACTAAAAAAACAAGTATATTCCAAACATTCGTTATGGAATTGAATCAGATATCATTCACAGGATTGCTACACAATATAGTATACGAAAGAGGTGATTGCTACTCAATATAGTATACGAAAGAGGTGATTGCTACCCAATATACTATACGAAAGAGGTAACAGTTCACTAACATGGGACACTGCCATCTTCTGATGTTTCGGGATAAGACACTTGCCTTATTGCCTCTTTAGCACCAAATCTGGATCTGAACGTTACCTGTTTGCATAATCTAATCCAACAAAATTTATATTCACCTATTTGTTGTTTCAGTGAAGTTATTGAAGCTCTTATAAAGGAAAGCAAAGCTAGAGAGGGTGAATTAGAGAAAATCAGAATAAGACCCAATTTGAACTTTCTTCACAGAACAGTATCGAACATGGTATCTTCCAATAAACGGTAAACATAAAGAGATCTGAAAATCGAAATGCATTCAGTTGATTAATACAAAATTTGCTAAGACGGAAAGCTGAGGATCCATAACTCAAATTAAGTGTTTGATTTTTGCATTTTCCATAGTTGTTATTATAATTTCGTTAATATTACTATTATAATTGTGTTATAATTATCAATCAGGCACAAGATTGAAAAACGAAATTGTTGAGCGATAAAGCTTAATCTATTTTGAAGGTTTGTTGACAGTGGTCTGAGGTTTTTTATACCTGAAATCTTGTCTTCGTCTGTGACATACATTGTCATATGAAATTAATGCCTTGTATATGGTTAATGTATTGAAAAATTAAAAATTTCTCACTTGTACATCAACAATGTTCACTAAAACTTCACATGATAAAAATCACTTCACACAAAATGTTGGGTCAAATATCCTCAGTTTTCCCTACATTTAGATTAAATCATGAAATCACAATTTTTTCAGCATTTCAACAAAGCAAGAACAAATTAAAGCCAAAGAGAAAGAAAGAAACATTAAATACAGGCCGAGAAGAGTTGCAGTACGTCAAAAACTCCCCATACAGTTGATACAAGAGATATTATCTAGTAAAATCAATTTCGTGAAGTCCTCAGACGAGTCCGAATGTGTTGAAAAGAAAACTACAGAAATAAAGGAAAAATCTCCTTTGAATCGAAAAACGAAAACTCCTTTTCAGCTCATGCGCGAAATATTGAAGAACCAAGTTGAGGGTGTAAAAGGAGAGGACACCAAGAGTTTTGGTAGAAAAATTGACCTATGTTCTAGTACTGATACATCTGAGGAGTCATGTTCAAGTAAACCCTCGATAAATAACAAGGATATCAAAGAGGATATGGAGTTCACAAAAAGGAAAAGGAGGAAACACAGTAAAAACACTTCTGAGGCTACCGTTATAGATCTCTCTGACTCTACCAGTGATAGTTCAGTTTGTTCTAGTGCTCCAGATGTGATTAGAATATCAGATAGCGATAGCAGTCACACTGATGATCTTAAGAAATGTCGAAGGAAAAAGAAAAAACTCAAGTATAGGAAAGTTTGACAGTCATAAATTTTTCAGTATTTTTACTATTGATTCATAGAGGACACTTTGTATTGTCAAAAATGAATCATATTTGATTGGTAAATATTATTTAAGGTGGTAGCAATTGGGAAAGAAACGGAAATATATTTTCATTGTTATGAAACTAAAATTAAAAATGTATTTTCTAAGAAAACGTCCGGGAATTTATGTTCTCGAATATAATTCCTCTTGAGAAATTATGGAAATTTATAACATCTTTTATTTTTGTGAGAGTGGAAATTACAGAAAACTAATGATTGCATATTGCAATGTGAGTGCTTCTGCCATCTAGTGGACTGTAGATGAAACATGTTTCACATATGTAAATACAAAGGCCTAATAATTTCCTTTTTTTTCCTCAATGCACCAATTGTAATGTGATCAAAAATAAAAATTAAATATATATATGTGATGTTGACTAAGATTACACATTCAGTACAGATAAATAATAAGTGTATAAACATTTGAAACTAGCCCAGCACCTTGAACTGATAGATGAACTATAGAATTGNAGACAACTGTATTAGTGAGTTTTGCTCAAAAATTTTCCCGAGCTTATTGCATGTATTGAAAACGCTGAAACTGAGCTGCTGATATGCTAACTTGGTTAGCGAGACGCGCGTCGAAAGACAGCATTTTTGTTCTGGAGATAGTGTTTTTAATGGAACCGTTGTGCATCCTTCTGAGGAGTTGTCCTCCTAGGACATCGTCCACCCTGTCCTTCCCAGGAAGGTGGACAGGTCAGTGGGAGGCCACATATATGTGTCCTGGCAAGAATGCGTTGTTTGATGTCATCCCATCTCTATAGGGACTGAGCATGCGTGTGACGTTTAGCTAGCTAGTTCCACAGTTGTGGAAGTCATCAGGCCGTAGGTGCCACGTTATTCTAACCATTTTTTTATTATTTTAGCTAGTAATGAAATGATAGAAATCGGTCGATGATTCAAAAATTATCTAAGGCATCCCTAACTTAGTAACATAGCGGCTTACCAGTTGGTAACGAACATTATAGTTGAAGGTCTTGGTGAAGATAAACATTTTCTACTTTATGTGACCTTACAAAATCTTTCGAGTTTGTATCAATTCAATTCTTATTGAGAAGTTAACCAATTATGGAGTCAGAGGCAATGTTCTAGGGTTGATACGAGTTTTACCTCGGAAAATATAAATTAGTGTTGATGTAAATAATCGAAAATCAGAATGGATTGAAATTCATCACGGTATTCCACATGGTGAAGTTCTTGGTTCGAAATGCGTATTTTTTTGCCTATGACACTACTTTAGTATGTTCAAGTAATTCTCGCAACAGCTCAAAAAGCAAAACGTTTTGTTCATTTCACTTATTTCAATTTCATTCTCCTCATGGAATTTTGATATGGGGTATTCGTCAAACTCAATGAGTGTATTCAAATGCCAAAAAAGCAGCAATGATAATCCTCCTTGCTGATGCAGATTTTTGGGTTTGATTTTTGGTTTGATATCATGCCTCTCCATACTTTGTATATTTTCACTGTATTATTTAAAATTGACAGATCTATAAATGAATTTCGGATTCATTGTGATGACCATATACTTATGTCACAAGATATGGAAATTCATTGAATCCGCCTATGCAGAGGTTATCCATATATCAAACAATCTTTAAACTTGAATCTGTATAATCATCTTCATCCTACCATAACATCTTTACCGTTTAACTTCAAATACACTATCAAGACGTTTCTTGTTCGAAATTGTTTTACACAACATCAGAATCAATTCGGTATTTTTATATTTTCATTTTTTTTAATCGAAATGTTTTTATTGTAAGACAGTTTTTTAACTCTTCTGTTTTTAATTGCTTTTAAAGTTTTGCGACTTGCCATAAAGGTACTTGTCTATAGAATGGTCGAATAAATCTTTTGGATAAGAAAGTTTTTGGCTTTCCACTTCTTCGTCTTCATATAAAAAATGAGGCGAACTTTCAAAAAAAGGAAGAGAGCACTCACTTGAGTTTTTCATCTCGTAATGTTATCCACATTGGCATTGAAAAGGCAATATAAGGCGAGTGTCTTATTCCGAAACACCGATGTCCGCCATTGAGGATGACAGTGTTCCATGTAAGTGAAATTCACCTCTCTTATATACTATATTGTGTAGTAATCCTGTGAATCTCTTCGCCTTACCCAAAAGTTAGTGTTTCCTAAAAAATATACTTCCAATTAAGATCTGAAAAAGATGTTCTCCTTCTGCTGGTCTAATAGTTCTTGGAGCAAAATATCGGCAGATTTCCAGATATTTTAACAAAAAGCCATTGTCTGACAAAGTTTTTTTCATTATATCCTTCGGTTCAAATAAGTTAGACGAGTGATTTTTCTACTTGAGCGCCATTGAATTAAAGCAGCAGGTCTAATCTAGTTATAATATTTTCAGTAATTTTCTGAACTTATTGCACATCCCTCGTATCATACCGAAAAAGACACTGGATTATTATCGAATCCACCCCTTGCGGAACAGTGGAACTCACCAAACAAATACTACCCCTACGTTACATAAGAAACAGGGCGAGTATTTAGCTGAGTCACTGAGTGTGATAAATCTATTAAGCCCTTATAACAGAGCATATATAAAGAGTTCAACTGTCCGTAATAACAAAACAATACAACATTCCTAAGCAAGAGTTGACTTTATAAAAAAAACTCCGGTATCGTTGGAATATCCTTCAGATCTGGGGAAATTTCGCCACCACAATGTTCCTAACTCGCTATTGATTTTTGCCACCCCTTGATATAAGATTTCAGTTTATTATTTGGTGGAAAACGGAGAGATATGTCCGGGAAATTGTATTTGAAGTCGCTCTAGCCAAAATGTTGAAAGCTACAAAGTCATGCCGTTCAGTGGTTTGTGTGAGATTTCGGAAAAACTAGTGAAAAGTGAAAATCTGAAGAATCAGTGATCGGTGAAAATAAAGACAAAGTTCCACATACATTCAGCCGTTTCTACGGGTAGTTTCAGAAAATGATGTCAAAAATGATATCGTCGATCGTCTTAGTGGTGGTTGATGGGGATTGTAGGAAAAATGTTCAATCGTGACATTAAAACTGATTTACCTCAACACTGCCTGGGAAAATGCAGAAAGAAAATTCCAACCCCTCCCCTGAGGTGCACCAATATGTGGGGCCTTATAGGCTGGAAAAGACTTTGGGAAAAGGCCAAACTGGTGAGTAACTCAATACAATACTCTATTCAGTGATGGTAGTAAAAAACATTTGGGAGTTCCAAGCCTTTTGAAAGAACAAGAACAAAAAATGAATGAGTAAAAAGTGTATTGACGACAAAAGCAGATTGCAAAATTAACCTACATAGTGACTTTTTTGAAATTACTCAGGAATTCCACCTTTGAGGTGCTATCTTTACCTCAAATTTGCTTTTATAGCCATTTCACAAGTTACTTTCAGAAAAATGCGAAAATGTGTTTTATCATTTGGAAGATCTTTAAAGGAACATGCCAAGTGGAGTAAAAAACTTCCAGATTCTGCAAATGATATTTTTTATTGATCATTGAATGTAAATGGTCTCATGAAAATATCCGTGAGAGTGAGATCGGGCGAACTTGTTGGCCAACGGACAGGACATTTTCCTATTCCTGAATATGGCAAATAAGGCAAACTATTTTGTTAGAATAATGATAATAATAATTTATCCACCACAATTATCAAATAATATGTACTCCAGATAACTAAGCCTAAGGATTAAGTGGGGAATGGGAAAAAATACCAGCGTTGTCTAAACAGAACTGGCTGGTATCTCAATCGCCACAAAAGCAATAACTAGGAAAGGAATTTCTGGCAAAAACATAACAATCTGCACTGACAGCAGACAAGCTCTATTAGCCTTGAAAAGACAACGTGTAACCTCAGGGCTAGTACTAGAGTGCCAAGTAAAGGTAATCGCATTGCCGACTCTTTAGTGAGCTTACACTTACCCCCCCTACACTACAGATACAGATAACAAATAATATTGCAGTGTAGTATTTGAAATTTCAAATAGCATATCATGGGAATGAATTAGGAAACCTTCCATCGAAACGATCTTGTGCGTGGGTTAATTTTTTCATTCATTAAACCTATTCATATGAGTTATAGATTATAAATTAAAATCAAAACTAAAATACGGAAAATTGTAAATATGATAAAAGCATTAATGATATATAGAACAATGAACAAATTGGAACAGTATATCTGTTCTGGTGAAGGATGTTAATCTATGTGTACGGCATAATATTTTACCATTCTTGTGAAAATTATTTGTTAAACCTGCTGCCCACACTAATGGGACTATTTTGATATTATAATGAGTGTGAACTGAAGAAAGTGAATGGATGAATTGAAGTGTTTTCTAAAATTGATGGTCAATAGTTTTTGTGAAATTTTATTGAACAGATTTGAAAGTGTCTCACGAGTGGTGTCGTGTCATAATAGTTCATGGATGTATATATTGAAGATAATTGGTCCAAGAACAGTTCCTTGCGGTACGCCAAATTCAATTTCCAGCTGCCCAACTCTAATACTATCTTACCTGCTTGAGTAGTAGCACGTCATAAATGATTACAGAAATAATAGGTACTCAAGCCCCTTTATGAAGAGTCTAATATGTTTGATCTGAGACAATAATTTTTTATTGGTATAACTACAACACAGAAACCATCTCATGCTTATACGACGAGGCAAATTGATAACTTCCCAATACCCTCCGCATCCAAATCAATTATTCAAAAACTGTTACAGAGTTCTAGCTCCAAAGACATTTAATATACTTCCGAAAGAATTGAAAAATGAGATTTCCAAACTCAGATTCAAGAAAGGAATGAAACTCTTTACGAAACAATCTAATCGACATGAGACTCGTGTACATGCTAACTCTATTCTCACATGTACACATTTATTCAGGCGTAATGATACCATAAATTCTTTTATATTCGTTCTTCATTCTTTACTAGCCATATTGTATATACATATACTTTCTGTTATTATCATCTTCAAAGTTTCTAATATTCTCAATAATTACCAAGTTCTCTCATGGCCAGTGAGAAGAGTCTCCCTCAAGATGTGCAGTAGATGTGTAGAAATCTGTTATCAGTCTGTTACTCGAGCCGTAAACATCCAAATTCAGGACCGTATTCAGTCAGTGATGGAGTTTAAAAGTGAATTGCTTGAACACATTTCAAATAGTGAAACTCGTGAAGATACGATACGATTTCTCCCACCGGCCATGACTCATAAAATTATTCAACATGGTTTTTTCCTTTTTAAATTGTGACCTCTAATATTACTCCGAATGTTTATATTGTTATATTACTATATACTAGCCTTATATATGTACGTATATCCACACACAGGCAGTACTGCTTCCGTGCAATTACCCTTATATCGTTGTGAATATTTTTTTTTCACCGTAGTGTGCGCTGGTCAGGCCCTATCCCCCGAAGCCCCNTTTTGAAAATGGTGTAATAGCCGAAACTAGTCACAATAAAGAAATAGCGTGGAAAATAGACAAAAGTGTGTTTTTGTAGTGATCATTGATAATGGGTGAATATTTTTCCCATGAATTCTACAGCTTCATACTTTTAGGGATTAGAGTTAAGATAGAGTAGGCATAATTTATATGATTCTGACTATTTGGAACCGGGACTTGCATAACGACAAATCTGTTTGTTCTATATTTCTAGTGTATCTATATCTGTAGAATAGGGGTGGTGAGTATAGGCTCACAGCACTTAGGCCACATGTGATCCATTGTACTTCCTCCTGAGGAGTTGTCGTCCTAGGTCCATCCTGTCTATTCCAGGAAGGTGAACAAGTAACTAGGAGACATCTCCTTTATATTGGCAGGTGTAGGCCAAGACTCGTCGAACACACACTCTCATTGGCAACCTTGAGGTGACTCACGGTTGCCTCCGCGAAGGTTTTGGAAGGTGCAGCGATATTACTGTCGTTGCGCGGCTTCTTCAACCTTCTTGGGGTTCCCTCCGTGGAGGTGCACAAGTGAGGGAGCTTTCCTGCAGAGGCAGCCGGTTCCTTGCCTTTATTCAAGGCGGAGTTCTTGGCGGAAAGTCTCATTTCTGCCACTGACCAGAAGTCCGGCGACCCCGACTGTAAAGCTACATTTGCTTCTCGGACAGGGCCTCCAGTTCCCTGGCCGTTCCCTTAACCGCCACCTGGGGACTCGCCCGATAGGTAGCCCAACCCACGGGTATTTCTAGTGCCATTTCTAGTGAAATCACAGGATATAACAGAAATCATGCCTAAATAATATACGTAATGGATGAAAGAAAACATGAATGAATACATGAAATTTTGTAACCTTGGATTTAGTCGTATACTCGACGAAAACAGAAATGCACAATACAAACCGTGCTCATTTTGGTAAACTGTATAATATAAGATAGCGTTACTGGACAGAAATAGAATTTAGTAGTGTCAAAATAAACCAATTAAACATAACTACTTTCTGGAATTGAATCAGATATCATTTACAGGATTGCTACACAATATACTATATGAAAGAGATAAAAATTCACTTACTTGGAACACTGTCATCCTTAATGGCGGACATTCGACGTTTCGGAATAAGACTCTAGTCTTATTACCTCTTCAGCGCCAATATGGATAACATTATAAAATGAAACGCTTGATTCATTCATAAAATTACGACTTCATGTCACAAATGAGTTAGAAAAATTCATTCGGGTCAGCCTTCACTGTAGGTTAATGGACTGACACCTATCAGAAATCAACTACTCCTCTGGCTAATACCACGAAGGGCGTTGGACTATATCCGACATGTGTCAGTGCAGGATTCTTCACTGAAGTTATTCCTGCATATGCTGTTGACGATATAACTGTCGCAATAGATTTTCAATTATTGGAACGCACTTGCAGGCCGATTTCGGGCTGTTTGGCCACTCGTCAGTGCTAGGTAGTGTCTATCACCAACATTTGTTTGAAATCTGTTTAAAATATGTTTTCCGTTAACCAGCTATCGCACCCCTACGAACGACAACCCTCAGAAGTCGAAACTTGTGCTAGCTCGGTAATGTAGATTCTATTGTGGGAATAGTAGTTCCTTTCCCAGATAATCGAATGTGGAGTGGGACGGAAATTGTTCAGCTAGTAGATTTGCTTTTTCTGTTGCTGTTGTTGCAATTGAACCATCCGCTTGTGTTAGTGGTGGAATTGTGTATTTTGTAAAGTTCTGATAAATAGATTCAGCTATCGACCAGAAGGATCTAGACCCGTTGGGATTGGCAAGCAGTTTATCCCTAATTGTCCCTAATGTGATATTGAGTTTTTCACGATGTCGAGTGTTAAACTTGTGATTTCGGACTAGTGCTTCATTTTTACTAAAGTGATATTATACATTTGTACAAAATTAATATATTTTTCTGATTGATTCGACCGTTACTTGATGAAGATCCATAGTAATTTCACAAACTACACCTAAACGATTTGATCTCCACAAAAGTTTGTGGAAGAGATTTCTTC